CCATCATGGCTTCTTCTTTGACTGAACTTAACTTGATCTTGAAGCTCTTGTTACTCATTTGAATATCCATCATCTTCTTGCCTTTTGCATCTAAGATGATACATCTCTTGTCTTGAAAACGTACTCGATAGCCACTTGAGATGATTTGAGCAACACTTAACAAGTTTTTCTCCAAACCAGGCACTAAGAAAACATTTTTAATGATTCTTTTGCCATCACTTGTCATGACGGTAATATCTCCTTTACCGGCTGTCATGACTATATCTCCGTTCCCGACTCTAATCGGAACCTTGATACTTCTATCGATGTGAGAGAAGTATCTTTCTTCTTTCGTCATATGGTTCGTGCAGCCACTGTCTACCAACCACACGTCTGCTCCTAACGTTGTTGTTGATTCCTCACTTGCACTAAACAGCATATGATCTTCATTTAAGTCTTCTTCTTCTTCTTCGAGACTTACATGTGCTCTCTCTTTATTCTTTGAGCGACACACATTTGCGAAGTGGCCGATCTTACCACACTTGTAACACTCCTTGTTACTTTTCTGATTTTTTTCATGATCGTCTTTCTTCGGTTTCGTCCAACACTCTTCTTCTGTGTGGTTGCTTCTCTTGCAAAACCCACACCACTTCTTGCCTTGATTTCCACGGCCTTTTGTGTTGTCTTGTTTGACACCGGATTGCTTTCCTTTTGAACGAACATAAAATGCTCCCTCATTTGTGTTTTCCTCTCTTGCAGATACTCTTGCTTCGTGAGCTTTCAAAATACCGATTAGCTCTGACATTGTTGTTGAAGTCAAATCGCTAGTTTGCTCTAAAACACTAACAATACTATCGAACTTGGCTGGGAGAGAGATGATTATCTTCTGTACAAGTTGAAGGTCTGATTTCTTTTCCCCATGATAAGTTAATTGATTTTCCAAACCAATTAACTTATCGGTAAAAGTCTTGATGTCTTCGTTATCATACATTTTCAGATTTTCGTACTCCCTTCTCAACGTTTGAAGTTTGATCAAACGGACTTGAGGAGAACCTTGGTACTCAGCCTTCAACGCATCC